GTACGTAGTGTTGGTACTCTATTGTTGTAATATCTCTACAAATCATAGTGAAATCTTTTCTCATCCATGGGCGTAGGCTGGTTTTGGCTTAACCATGTATATCTTGTGTTTGTGTGTGATTGCTTTATTAGCTTTCATTGAAACTTTCTTATTCGTGCACTTTTGCTGCTCCCAACAAATTGGTATTAGAGTCAAAGGTGAAGGAGATTTAGAAAACACAGGAAGTCTTAATATGTGCTGCAACGAGCTTCAGTTGTAGGTGGAGTCAATTGGTTTGGTTACATGGCATAGAGTTCAAGTAGTTAAGGTGGAGCCTTAGAGGTTTGACTGATCGAGCAACGTATAATATGGATAATCGGAGTTTTGCAGGAGTATCATCAAGATTGAAGCTGCAAAAGAATTGTCCTAATCAATGCCATGTGAAGCGATGATAGGCTATATGGAATTTGAGCCAATGTCGAGATTGTTGGGTTTTGTATCTCAAAATCCTATTCTAATTATGTTTCTATTTTAGAGTTGTATTTTATTTGGTAATTTCTTGTTTGGTAAGTATTGACCTTTAAGAAATTGTAATCCTTGTCGAACAATGAATTGAGTTTGGTTAACTCTATAAATAGATACATAGGCTTTGGGCTGAGACTTTTGAGATTGAGAGAGATGTAATCTCATGATGGAGTTGATGGGTATAATTAGTATATGAGTTGGTATTGTAGGAAAAACACTGATAGCGAGGAGATAGGCTCGTGTAGTGGTACATGGTAAAAAGACATGTACGTAGTGTTGGTACTTTATTGTTATAATATCTCTACGAATCATAGTGGAATCTCTTCTCATCCATGGACGTAGGTCGGTCTTGGTTGAACTATGTATATCTTGTGTTTGTGTGTGATTGCTTTGTTGACTTTCATTGAAACTTTCTTATTCGCGTGCTTTCGCTGCTACCAACAAATTGGTATCAGAGCCAAAGGTGAAAGAGATTCAGAAGACACAAGAAGTCTCAACATGTGCTTCAATGGGCTTCAGTTGTAAGTGGAGTCCATCGGCTTGGTTACATGGCATGAAGTTTGAGTAGTCATGGTGGAGTCTTAGAGGTTTGACTGATCGAGTAATGTATAATGTGGACAATCAGAGTTTTGCAGGAGTATCGTCAAGATTGAAGTTGCAAAATAATTCACCTGATCAATGCCATGAGAATCGATGATTGATTGGATATATAGAATTTGAGCCAAGGTGGATATTGTTGGGATTTGTGTCTCAAATTCCTATTCTAATTAGTTTCTATTTTAGAGTCGTATTCTATTTGGTAATTTCTTGTTTGGTAAGTTTTGGCCTTTAAGAAATTATAATCTTTATCCAATAGGGAATTGAGTTTGGTTAACTCTATAAATAGATACATAGGCTTTGGGTTGAAACTTATGGGATTGAGAGAGATGTAATCTCATGATGGAGTTGATGGGTAGAGGTAGTATATGGGTTGGTAGAGTAGGAAAAATACCGGTAGCACTGATAACGAGGAGATAGGTTTATGGAGTCGTACATGGTAAAAAGTCATGTACGTAGTGTTGGTACTCTATATATTGTTGTAATATCTCAACGAATCATAATAGAATCTCTTCTCATCCATGGACGTAGGTCGGTTTTTGCTGAACCATGTATATCTTGTGTTCGTGTGTGATTGTTTTATTGGCTTTCATTGAAACTTTCTTATTCGTGCGCTATCACTGCCCCCAACATATTTATTAGCATGTTTTGCCCTATATATAATCTCACAAGATTTTTGTCCCACATCACATAGGGATCAGAAGTAGGGGTGTACACAGTTTGTTTGATCTGTTTCTAAAGTGCTTTTTGTGTGAGATATTAATTTTGTAATTGGCAAATTTTAGTGTCAAAACATATTTGATTGAGTTGTAATTTTTATTTTATTTTTGATTCTCGATGACAGAAGTGGAACAACACGTGGAACTAATATGCTTCGATGTTGATTCGGTTGAGAACATCACGTTAGAAAAGAAATGTTGGTGATGATACGTTATTTTTATTTCTGGTGAGTTTTGGTAGTGGTAATATTTGTTTCCCAAATTTTGTTTGTGAAAAAAACTTCACTGGATTAGTGGAATCGGTTCCGCCCTATGGAATCGGTTGCACACGTATTTTTCAAAATACATGTTTGGGGATGAAATTCACTGCCACTGTAGAACTAGTTCGGCCCCATGGAACCGGTTGCACATGTTGTATTCCAAAAATCAGTTTTACCCAAAAACTCATTGGTCAAGTGGAACTAGTTCCGCCCCATGGAACTGGTGTGGCAACCAATGTGGCGGGTGTGCATGGGCAGGTGTGAGGCACTAGCAACCTACCACATTGGGCGAGATACAGGTGTACAATCCCACATTGCCTAGGTGTGGAAAAGGCAAGTGCTGTATGTAGATTCAACACTTTTCTATTACATAACGCATTTTAAAGTCGTAAAGGGAGGGGGGTTGATTGTGGCGACCTATGTGGGAGTCTGGGTAGAGTGAGAGTCATTACAAATGGTATTAGAGTCTGACCTAGTTGGAAGTGTGGCCAACGGGGACGTTGGCCCCAAAGGGAGGATGGTGATTGTGGCGATCTATTTGGGCGGGTGTGCGTAGTCGGGTGTGAGACACTGGTAGGCTACCACACTGGGCGAGCTACAAGTGTACAATCCCATATCGCTTGGATGTGGAAAAGGCAAGTGCTATAAGTAGATTCAATATCCTTCTATGACATTACACGTTAAAACAGACAATATTGTGTCTTGGTAGGGTGAGGGTAGTTATAATTGGGGCGAAACCGATTGCGCATGCTGTATTCCAAAAATCAGTTTTGCACAAAAACTCACTGGTCTCACTGGTTAAGTGGAACTGGTTCCACCCCAGTTGGGCACGCTGTATTCCAAAATTTAGTTTTGCACAAAAACTCACTGGTCAAGTGGAACCGATTGCATTCTACATACTAAAAAATAAATTTCAATTGTAGTCTATTTAATTTGGTTTCCTCTTTTTGGCTAGACTTTTGCATTAATGATCACGCATGAAATTGACTTATTTTCCTAGTATAATTATGTTTTCAAAAGTCTATAAATACATGTTTTCTCACTTAAGGTTTTAGGGCTTTTGCATACAAAATTATGACTTATTTGAGAGCCAACTTTAAAAAATATTTTTAATTCAGAAAAATCAAACTTAATTTTTCTAATATATATTTTTTAGAGCACACACATAAATACAAGAGTGATTTACGGTGATGTTCTCTCTATATGATCAGAATTGGAGTATAATTGAAGATTCAAATCCGAGAAGAAGGATTTTGTTATTGTACATCAAATTTTGAATTTGAAGAAGAGGGGTGTTTCGATCACACTTTGAAGGGGTGAAGGCATTCGCGGAGTGTTGTTGATCTACCAGCTGTAATCCTTCTACAAGGTTCAAGGAGTCACAAAGCCAGGGGTGTTGAGCGAGTTGGGTCTTGGTAGAGTGAACGGGTGTGACCCTGAATCAAAGTGAGGTATACTTTGTTTCAAACATAGTGGATCGTTTTGCTCGAGACGGCAAAAGTCTCCATGGTTTTCATCCCGATTGGCCGGATTTCTTTCAACTAGGGTTTCCCCGCACAAAAATCCCGTGTCATCTCTCAAAATTTATTTATCTTTCTTACATTTTATTTTTGCTTTGTGTGTTTGATTTTAGTTTTATTTCGGTAAAATTAAAAGTAAAAATTGAATAAAAGGGCAAGTAAAACATATTCACCCCTTTTAGGTTATTTTTAATACAAACTTACACATCCATTTCGCAGAGCGCAACTCATATTTTGTGCACTCCAAATGAAAAGAGTCACGAACTTATAAGAACAGATAGACAACATCACCTAACAACATAAGGTTTTAGATTTGCTACATGCTCATGTTGGTGTCCACGGCATTACTGATTCCTCCCCATTAGTGTTGGCAGCACCACTCAACAATGGCATGGCCTTGTTTTCCTAGCAACCCCAATAGCCTTCCTTTTCTAGCAACTCAAGCATATAGTTTGCATCACGTGTATATAGTACGTTCTTCCCAAAGTGTGTTGAAGTTTCCTCGTGCATTGATTCACTTTTATTTATATTTATCAGCTATGCATTTGCTTTTGTAGTCGAGGTTTATAACAATCATAGTACATGTTTCAGGACTTATTGGGGTTTGCAAAGAACATCTTCAGTGCAAACATTAATTAAAAAAGCACACTTGAAAGGCCCATGTACATATGGGAATCTATGACATATAAAGTTATATAATCCATATTATACTTTCAAAAAAAAAAAAAATCCATTTTATACTTGAAACAAAAGAGAACTCTGATTTCAACTTGCATAGAGAATTGTTATATATATATATATATATATATATATATATATATATATAAATTCATTCAAGACTAGACATCTATGCCATTATTTAACATGGTGACTAACTTCTATATTTCTATTCTTATACACACACACACACACACACACACACGCATTGCATTTCATGATCATTTCAAATCAAATTGTTCTTGTAGATTAACCACAAATTTTTATTTAGAGAAAATCCAACAGATGCAACTATATAGGTTTTTATCAGAGTTAGCTAAACCACAAACACAAACACAAACACCCTGATATATATCTTGACATCTTGTAGGCACGTAAAATGCATGATGGACTCCAATCCTTCAAGGACTTGCACGGGTATGGTCACAAGATATAATATACATATAAATATAAGTATATATATACAAGTCCATACAATTTTACCATTCAAATATTATGAACCTAGTACTATAAAGTCTTTAAAGAACGAAAATTTAAGTACTTAGTTAACAAAGAAAAAAATTGATTGAAATAGAATATAAACATTCCAATACTACAGATTTAATCGACACATATATATAATGCAATAAAGGGGGATATCAACTTCATGTATGATAAACCAGAGAGAGAGATATTTATCTAACCTAGTGCTTGTGTATTCATGGAGCTTGCCAGTGCTAGAAAAGATAATAACTCCAACTTCTGCGTCGCAAAGGATGGACAACTCCTTAGCCTTCTTGAGCAAACCATTTCTTCGCTTTGAGAAAGTCACTTGCCTACTTGTTGAATTATCAATCCTACGGATCAAAATCTTTCCTCTTCCCATCGTGTTTTCTTTGATTGAATTTTTAGGGTTTTTTTTTACTTCTTTCTTCTCCTAGATCTACAAAAAAAATTACAAATAGTTTATCATAATCATTGTTGCCTTAATCCCAAATAAACGAGGTCAGCTAAAAATACAAATAGCCCGAAGAAAAATAAAAGGTCTAATAATGGCAATAAGATCAATACAAATAGAAGATGAAAATCAGCTAAATATAGTAAGTCCATTGACTTAATAAAAAGATCAAACATGAAATCAGTTCCAATTTTTGTAGACAATAAAAATGAGAGAAAAAAACAAAAGGAAAAATGATAAAGGAGACTTACAAAAAGAGCTTACTAATTAGAGTGAAAATTGAAGACTGAATGGAGAGAGAAGTTTTAGAGAGAGAGAGAGAGTGAGAGAGAGAGGTTTTCTCTTTGAGAAATGTTTCTGAAGCAATTACATGCTTTACATGGAAAGCTGATTGGTTTTTGGGAGAAAGTAAAGCCTATTTGTCATGGAAATTTGGGTCCGTTCTGACCCGAATCCACTTAATTTGCTGTTAAGATCCGATTTAAAATGTTATCTTACCCTCGAGAGTACAATGAAAATATGATACGCGCTTCTCATTTAGGACATTTGTCAAAGCCAATCAGTCCAAGGGCTGCTGAATAGTGTGAGAATCTTCAGAGTCACTGACACAATAAGATATAGACAAGTGTCAACAAAGAGAAGAGAGTTTATCATTTTTATACTCGAGCGAGTGTGGTGGAGCTGTTTCTGCGGAGACTCAGGAGTGGCATTGATTGGCGGGTGGGTGTGGAAATAGTTGAAATGTTTTGAGAATTTTGATGGAGTTGTCGATCCTATAGATCACTGACACTTGGAGAACAATTTGGATGGTGCTCTTACTTTCTTGTGTATTGGAGAGAAAAAAGTCCGACTGAGAGAGAGACGGGTCATGGGTGCCAAGAGGACTTCCTGTAATTAGAATAATTTGGGTGCATCATTACTAAATTTGATTATTATTACTTATTATTATTATTATTTTTAATTGAAAATTGATTCTCAGGCAGATTTGTCTGGTATAGCTGAAGAGTTCTTATCTTTTGATATAGTAAATAAGACTCCTTGAACTTATTCATATGTTATATTATTCAGTCAGAGGTTTAAATATCAATACTCTTTTTAATTTGATTACAATTTACTTACGGTAAAAGATGACAATAAGCATGAGTATTCTCATTTTCACTACAACTGTTTATATTTATATACAGGGAGTAATAATCTCTTGGTCATCAATGAACAAGAAACTTTCTCCACAATCAATCATAATAATAGTGGGATATGACTGAAGTGTAGAAAAAGAATTTATCAAGAAAATATAACAATCATATCCAAGGATTACTATATTTGATATGGATAAATTTCTTACTCATTGGTAAGGCAAAAGCCATTTATTTATCCATTAGGGGTTAAGTTAAGCCATCGGTTCATTTAAGGTTAAAACAAATTTCTTTATAATATATTTTGGAACATTGTCTTAAATATTTGATGTTTGGTTGTTTAGAAATTGGCCTGCAAATTGTTTTGTTTTGTTTTGTTTTCTCTCTCTCTAGTAGAGATTAGGGTTTTATATACACTTATTTGGAAAATGAAAAAAAAAAAAAAAACAAAAGAAACAAAAAAGCTCACACACACTTGTTCTCATTTGACATTTACAATATAAAATAGATCTTAATATTGTTAGGAAACCAATAATAATATTATTAGAATTCATATTAGACAGCCTTCAATCTAGATAATTATTATTTAGTTGATTTAGGTAATAAGTATTCCTAATTTTTCCCTTTTTTAATGATGCTATTGTAATAAAAGTAGTGTATGGAATTGAATGAACGAAAACGTACTTAAAATTTTTGGTGGCTAATCCCCAATTTAGAGGATTATTGGTGGCTTATCCCTAATTTAAAGGATTATCGTTATATCCGTGGCACAAATTTAGTCTCTTGGCTCAGCAAGAAATAATCTACAGTGTCACTTTCCACCTCAAAAGCTGAATATATTGCTGCTTCACAAGCTGTTTCTCAATTGTTGTGGATGAAGACAACACTTTCAGATCTTGGTCTTCACTTTTCAAGCCCTCCAAAGCTTTATTGTGACAATCAAAGTGCCATTGCAATAAGTAAAAATCCTACATTGCACTGCAAGAGCAAACACCACTACAAGAAATTAGGGAACCGTCCCTACAAGTCAAATTAGTCCGTCACTAAAAGTAGCGTGACAAAAGATTTTTAGGGACGGTCAAAGTTGACCGTGACAAATAATTTAGATCTTTAGGAACAGTCCCAAATAACACCGTCCCTAAAATTTATTAAGGACGGTATATACTGTCACTAATAAGGTTTGAATTAGGGTCAGTTTTGGGGACTGTCCCCAATACGTATAGTATTAGGGACGTATGGACTGTCCCTAATAAATTTATTTTTATCATTATTATTGTATTAGGGACGGATAGACTATCCCTAATACATTATTTTTAATTATAATTATTGTATTAGGGACGACTAGACTGTCCCTAATACATTGTTTAATTTTTTATTATTTATTATTATGCTTGATTTGTGGATTTAACCATTCCGGATACATTGATATTATTACATGCAAAATATAAACAAAATAGATCCTCAAACATTCAAAAAGATATTACTAGCCATCAAACAAAATAAATCCACAATAACATTTAAGATCCATAAAATTTCCAGTTTTCTAAACAAAAACTTCAAACCAGATGCAAAGTCATCAAAATGCAGCCCAAAAAAGATAAACAAAAACCATCTTTATCGCGTTAGTCATTCTGTTGGTGGTTGTGGTGGTGCTTGCTGGGGGTGTTGATATTGCCACCATTTTGGTGGCGGCTGCTAATATTGCCACCTTGTTGGTGGCGGTTGCTGTTGGGAATCTGATGGAGACTGTTGTTGGTGCAATATCCCTTTCTTATGCTCAGTTGGTTTTGCACTATCTCAGCATCATTTATGATACCAGCACAGACTTTTCTTTCTTGCATCCTGCAAAATATTTAAGTTTGCTATCAAATTAAAAGAATATGACATAGGTATAAATCATGTGTAAGCTAGAATATTAATCTCAATAGAGAGAAAAAAAGAATTGAATAAATCATGTGCATGGTAATTCATTTCTAAATGGTTGATGCATTACTATACTTTCAGCATTGTACAATAAAAAATAGTTAGGCAAATCTAGACAAACTCTTTAAAAATCAAAACTCAAAAACCATCATAGAAAATTTTATAAAGAACATAAAAGTAACTTTAAATATATATATATATATATATATATAACGGTCTAGTTTTATCTATGTGATTTTGAGTCTTAATTTATAGAACTTTAATTCTTTTCTATGTCACTCCATGTGTGGTGTAATCTACGTTATTTGTGAGGGCCAAACCCCACATGGGGCAATCAACAACATCCTTCACCTGCTATAGAATGTCTTGTAGTAATCTCGCCTGTTGCTAATTTACAAATTATTGGTCCAACTTTTGAGACTGGTAAAGTAGAGAATATATAGATACATATATATAACTGCAATGTTGTCCATGAATCAAACCAGAAAAAAGGTTACGCAATATCATCTTTTGATGCTACATGGGAATGCAAATTGGAATTTAATTACGTAGTCCACAATCAAAGCTATAGAACAAAGTACAGGAAAGAAAGTCCAATGAGTTTGTTTATTATGTGTGGAAATCAATAAAATGTGATAGTAATCATGTGAAAGCTAACACAATCAAAGCTATAGTAATCATGTGCAAGCTAACATTAATTTTTAAATCATGTGCAATTTCCATTCTTTTAAATTTTTTAAAAAGATTTTGTTCTAAACTGCAGAATCTCAAGGAGTTCGATGAAGATCTTCTGGAAAATGATATAAACATGACAGTTGAACACTTCAAATAGTTTATGGAAAATTAAGCATTCGATCTGTACGTACGAAATGCTTTTAGAGTCTGTAGGAAGCAAGCTTTTTTTCTTTTTTATTTTGTATGTATCTGGATTCAGGTGTTGGGGAAAATAAAAAAGGGCAATGAAGGAAAAGCTTACATATAAATTACTGATTAGAAATTTCTTATTTTCACTTCTACTCACATAAAGTTATTTCATTTGTTTTCTCTCATTATTGCCATATATACTTTTTTTCCCTTTCTTTTCTGTCATTCCGATTATAGCATTTCCTTACTCTTCGTTTCTAATTATTCACGTATAATAAAATTTTAAGCCCAGAAAAATTACAAGTTGCAGTAGCCAAATGAAAACCAAACTTCACACACATCTCATGGTTCATGGACAATGGAGACCATCAACTTTTCTGACTTTCACAATTGTTAGAATGTCAGATTGGATGCAGATTTAGCTTTTCTTATCACATGAACATAACTTTTAACTTTTCTTAATTACAAGTTGCAGTAGCCAAATGAAAACCAAACTTCACACACATCTCATGGTTCATGGACAATGGAGACCATCAACTTTTCTGACTTTCACAATTGTTAGAATGTCAGATTGGATGCAGATTTAGCTTTTCTTATCACATGAACATAACTTTTAACTTTTCTTAATGTGAACCTTCTTTGTCACATGGCCTTAACATTTCAACAAATTAATTATTCCCATTATATTTTTTTATTTTTTAAACATGAAATGCAATGAATGAAAACCACACTTCATCCGCAACAATTCCCCAACTTTATTTGTGCACAAAAAATCAAGAATGGTCACTTAAAGGCATGTGACCCCCTATAAACCGCAAAAATGGTCACTTAAAGGCATGCGACCCTCTATAAACCATAAAAATATTATGAAATCCAATTTTCATAATCCAACATGCTAACTTATAGTTAACTTACAAAATTCCTTTTAGCTTTCTCGTGTGCCCATCCACCTTGTTCCTTAAAATGTGTGTCCTTGTACAAGCGAATAGCAGGATCCTCATCCCTTTCACCGTCCTCATCTTCTTGGCTCTGCCTTTCTTTGAGTTTGTCCTGCAGTACAAAGTAATAGTGACCATTAGACAAATATATGGTTTAGAATGTGCAATATAAAATAAAAAATTTATAATGAATGAGTGTAAGAAAACTTTCAAAGATGTGGTTTGACATTATTTTCTCGAGACTTAGGGGAAGTGGTTGATGAAATAAAATGCTAAAAGGGAAATTATACTATAAAACTAAAACAATCTTTAGTCTGCCAAACTTATATAGAAAAGGGTACAGGTTGTCAAGAAAGAAAGAAAAAAAAAAAAAGATAAAAAAAAAGAAAGAAAGAAAAAAGATGACGATGAAGTAAGTTGGACCCATTAAATTCGAATTTCACATAATTATAATTCCAAACTAAAATCTATTTTGTGCAGCCAAAAACCCCTTAATAGACTTCAAAGGCCAAAAGTATTTCACCCAGTTCTTGTAAGTGTTATAAATCTGTCCAAATCAGTTTATATTCTAGCAATTGTCCATGAAACAATAGAACTAGAAAAGTAGCAAGTATTATGATTCTCAAGAAAGTTGAAACCAAATCTAGTGACAGAATGGTAGAGAACAGTGGCATTAGCCTTTTAAAGTATTTAAAAGGCATGGCAAGAAGGATTCTAGAGCTCAAATCTTTATTTGGCACATGCTAGATGATGGGGTCCACTTAGAGTCTTGCATAATTAGGTGGTTTGGTTAAATTGTATTAGTTTAGTAATTGCATTAATTATGGTGAATCTGCATCATTTTGGTAAATTGCATTATTAGGGGGTTTTGTCAAATTTCATTATTTTGGTAATTGCATTAACTATGGAAAATCTGCATTGTTTTGGTAAATTGCATAATTAGATTAAATTGCATCAATTAAGTTATTTGCTACTTTATTAAGTTAGAGTCAACTTTTGATTACCTCCATTGTAGGGTAATCCAAGGGTCATCTTTTATTATAAAAATGATACTATGTAACTCTGAATACGGAGCGAATGATTGAATAAAATTATCCTTTGAGATTTCTTTGTGAGTGATTCACAAATTCTGAGAGTGTGAGGCCTTCTCTAGGTGTGATACATAGGTCCTATTGGAGTGATTCCAATAGACTTTTCTTTGTTAATTTCAATCTTTCTTTTCTACTAATAACCTACGAATCTTAGCTTTGTTCCTTAATTTTCAGCCTATAACTCTTATTTACTTTCTTCTATTTGAGCCTGTCCTTTGTCCTACATCAGTTTTTGGTATCAAAGCTTAAGTTGACATCATGTTGATATAATCAGGAAATGAAAGATCGGGTATTAATCAACAAGATGAGCTGATATCTAAGCTTGTGGAGCAGCTCAATGGGTTGAATGTCCGATTCAATGAGTTAGAAGCTCGAATGTGTCAGCCTATTAACAATTTTGCTCCTGCTGCATCTAGTACAAATGATGGCAAGCAACAACATCCTTTAAATGTGCAGCAAAGGCAGAATGTGAGGGCTGATCCACCACCACACCAAATGTTTGAGTTTCTAAGAAATCCATTAAAGATGAATCATCATAAGCCATATGATGTTACTGGAGATATTACAAAGAAGTTACGTGATGGAACTCACCGCACACAAACAACAACAATGCAGCCAAATGATGGATTGAAACCATCTTTATCTAACATGGCTGATCCTGAAGGAAAGAGTACGATGGCTAGCAAGGATTGTGAGAACCTGCTTAATGATGAGACCTGCAACACTGATCATGTGAAAGAAGTTGGAGAGATTGTTTCATCCATCTCCATTGTGACGCACATCCTTGAAGACCCTAAAGTTGGTGGCAAAGATGGGTAGCAGACCTCTAATTTTGAGACGCAAGTTCATTGTGGAAATCAAGCTCGGTAGCCTACTATTGATGGCGGTGGCAACCCAAATATTGTCTCCACAGCCATGGTTAAGCATCTCAAAATTTTCATCAAACCATATCCATAACCATTCAAAGCATCTTAGATAGATAGTACTTCTATTCTGAATCTTCCTAAAGATGCGACTATTGGAGTAGATACTTGGTGTATATTAGTGGGCACTGCAAAGAAATGGGAGCATGCTTGTGCCAAGAAGCAACAGAAGTTGGTTCAGATATCCACCAACTTGGTAGATGAGGTCTGGAAAAACCAACTGCCAGAAGAAACTAATCCAGTAAGTGATAAGCTAGAGGGATCTCGCGCATCAAAAGATCATTTTAGAGGGTTAAGTTTTCCTAATATTTCCTCAGTTGGTCCTAATGCATCAATTATGCATTAGAAACTAAAGGAGAAAACATGTTTAGGATTTGATCCAAACAACATTTGTGTATTTGATTCTGGAACACAGTACCTAGATGGCACCAACTGGTTTGCTCTTTATGTTCTTGCTCGAATACATTCGCGGAAGGATAGCCTTGAGTTTCGATATGGTACTGGCCATGGAGTTCGTATCAGAGGTGATTGGTCAGATGTTAATTTTGTTATGGGGTTACCTAGAACTAGTGGAGGACATGATGCTATAACCATTGTTCTGGATCTTTTTTCAAAAAAGACGCATTTTCTTCTATGTTCTATGACCTGCAATGCTGTCCACGATGCAAAACCTTTTTTTCAAGAAGTTGTCCGACTTCATGGGTTGCACAACACTATTATTTCTGATCGAGCTTTGAAGTTTATGTATTATTTTTTAGTGCAAATTATGGAAATTGCTGAATACAAGGCTGAAATTTTCTTGCTCTTTTCATACTTATGAGCAATTTCATCCCTTTAACTCGTCGGAGTCGAGTTTTTCCAAGCCGGAGAGAATTGGTAGAGAACAGTGACAACAACCTTTTAAAGTATATAAAAGGCGTGACAAAGAGAGTTCTAAGGGTCAAACCTTAATTTGGCACATGCTAGACGATAGGGGGTCCACTTGGAGTCTTGCATAATTAGGGGGTTTGGTCAAATTTCATTATTTTGGTAATTGCATCAATTAAGTTATTTGTTACTTTATTAAATTAAAGTCAACTTTTGATTACCTTGTTTTGGTAAATTGCATGATTAGATTAAATTGCATCAATTAAGTTATTTGTTACTTTATTAAGTTAAAGTCTACTTTTAATTACCTCCATTGTAGGGTAATCCAAGGGTCATCTTTTATTATAAAAAGGATACTATGTAATTCTGCATACTCAGCGAATGATTGAATAAAATTATCCTTTGAGATTTCTTTGTGAATGATTCAGAAATTCTGAGGGTGTGAGGCCATCTCTAGGTGTGATGCCTAGGTCCTATTGGAGTGATTCCAATAGGCTTTTCGTTATTAATTTCAATCCTTCTTTTCTACTAACAACCTCCGAATCTTAGCTTTGTTCCTTAATTTTCAGCCCATAACTCTTATTTACTTTCTTCTATTTGAGCCTGTCCTTTGTCCTACATCACAGAAGCATTCACTACAAAAAACACAATATATATATTGTTTATGATTTCTAACAGAATTACGTATCATTTTGATTCTTTGAAGGAACAATGTTCTGCAAGTGTTGAACATGAAAACTAATATATTTAAGGGCCTAGAGCCTATTTAAAACTTTTTCACAAATTTAACAGAATGAGAATAAGAGAGTGCAAATAGTGGGAGATGCAAATACAGATGTAAGAGAGAGCAAATTTGAAATAAGAAGTAAACCACAAAGAGATAGATTAAAAGCAACACAAACTAATAAATCAAAGCAATAGAAATGCAGGGAGCTAGGAATGAGTATTGTTGAAGAAACTAAAGAGATAATTCAGGAAGTACCTTTTCTCTAACTCATGGAATGACAAACATGAAGAGACTAATTAATTGCAGATGTTGTGTGTGAGAGAAAGAGATTGAGGGATTGTAGATTCAGATGTAAATGTTAAAGCCTGATTCAAAAGTAAACGAGAAAGATTATAATAGGAGATAAGGAGAAGATTAAAAAAATAAAAAATAAGATGACTTTTGAATCATCAAATAGAACCATTGGTGGTGACATTAATATCATTAGCACGGTGAAAAATAACCCCAAGTAATATTATTTATTACCCTTTTAAAACTATGTAAGGTCCAAAAAGTCTGGGATATTATTTATCCTCAAGTAAAATTGATATCCATATTCCAATCTAATAATTAATAGTGTGACTAATGGGACAAATTAATACTATGCTAAACTATTAAACTTCAATACTAGAGAATCTTTTCTAGCTCCACTATCCAAACTCTTTTCACACCCTCCCATGGATGACATTCAATTAAAAAAAAAAGGATAGTTCGAATAAAGAGGTTAAAAAAAACCAACAAAACAAATCAACTAATTTAAAAAAGTTTTCTTGTTTTATTAAGGTTTGAGTAAATAGGTTAAACAAATCAACTAATTTAGATGATAAAAGTGGAAAACCAAAAAATTCCAAATCTGTTGTATAGCATTATAGATTTAGTAAAAGAAAGCCCAATGAACAAAATAAAAAAGAAATTAAAAACTTTAATGAATGACCAAATGGTCTGCAAAAGGGATGGTCACTGCAGGGGTTCATTTAAGCAGCAACTATTACTGGTTTAGTTGAGAACTTCCCATCATTTTCTATCCTTTGCTTTAGAGGAAATTGATACTCATCAAATAAAGAAATCTAATACATAAAAGCAGGATGTGCTTGGTTTAGTCCTAATATATTTTACATTTTCTTAATAGTAGATAATACCCTCAAAGAAAAACTTTATTCATAAAAGTATCCTTATTCCTTTACTAATAAATAAAAAAAAAAGTATCCTTATTCCTTACATCCCACTTACATGAATTGTGGTTTCCTATATTGACTCTTTTGCAACTATTCTATGATTCAACTTGGAAATAAGGTGAATACATGTTTTGCTCTCTTTCTATTTCCCAAGTAAGTAGATTCTCTTGGTTTTCTCTGCAAAATTCTAAAAAAATTAGCTGCTCCTGGTTATTTTTTGTCCTTGACTTGATCTTTGTTTCAAATTGTCTTGGAATATAATTCTTGTCTTATAATGTGAGATAAATTTCAGTAGTATGACATCTGTGATCTAAAAGTTATTTTCATGCTCACATATATTGTCCGTCATTACTATGATTAGTTCATTTCAGTATTCTCCCTCATCATCCAAGTGATTTTGATATGCTATCCAACTTAGAACAGTTGTAGTTTAACACTATCCTCCAAAATTTCATGTACAAACATGTTGTCTTCTATTGTGATTGATCCCTGCCATCTATGATTTCCACTAAATCATTCTGGGTCATTGGAGACGCAATGATCTTGGTCATTCCTTTTTGAAGTTAGATCAAGCTTTTTTCTATATATGTGAGTGTATAAATAAAGAGGCCATTATGCAATATAGTCTCCATTAATCAGGGGTGCTGCAACTGGAAGGGACAAAACTATATTGTGACATAATTTTTGGCATTATTTTTATAAAGTGCTACTATGGGATTGCAACAACCAAAAAGTCGTAAAAAAAAAAAAAAAAACCAAAAAGTGCATATCAAATATTAGATAGAAATTCTACAAATCTCATACCTAAATCAACCTAAAAAAAAAAAAAAATAGTATAGAGAAGCAATCTAAACTAGTCAATTGAAATATGAAGAAGAGAATGAAACATACCTCTCGGTAAGTAGATAGCCGCCAGTAAAAGAAATAGCATAATGTTGAGTGATTAAATCTGTTTTATAATAATGAATGAGTAAAGAAACAACATAGTAAGAATGAAAATAGTACATAATTTCTTCATGTGTCCGTGAACTGATGAATGAATTGCATATATATATATATATATGTAAATAAAGGATATATATACATATATATTTATATATATATAAGGGATAAATTAATAAAGATAGAAAGTTCAAACAACCTGTATGATTTCCAACAGCGATTCAGACTCAGACGAAAACTTTTTCCAGATATGTAATTTACCCCTTCAATTGTTAGGCCTTTTGTAATTTTAAAACCCTTGAACATGTATTTACATTAAAAAAAACTAGGGTGAGGATCATGAAACCAAAGTGGGTTATATGAACGTCAAATCAAACATGGAGGTTCTCTGAAAAATGAAGAAAGAGGCTCAAACTTGAATAATCCCTAAAATTTTGCAAAAATAAAAACGTTGTACCTTAGGATCATCATCTTCTGATTCGGTGAAGATTAAAGACGCTTTGAACGAGCTATTGAATTCGGTGAAAATCAAGCCCAAAGAATGTTTAAGAAGAACTGAAGAGGTCTGTAAATGATATAGGTCTTCATATTTCGTGACGGTGGAAGAGCTCTGCAACTTTTGAGAAGAACTGAAGATCGAGGTTTGCAAATGATATAGCTTTACTAAATTTTTTTTTTTTACTAAAACGACATAGTTTGATGCCTCTTCCCTATTTTGTAACATAAAATAATTTTATATATTTCATTTTTATGTGCCAAACAAAAGAAAAAACAAGCACTAAAACTTGAAGCTACTTTTTTATGGAATTGGGGACGGTATTTAATAGACCGTGCCAAAAAATAATGTTTGTAGGGACAGTTTTTAGGGTTTTGGTGACATATCAGATTGACTGTCCCTAAAGGCTGGTATTAGGGACGGTAAAATTTGTCCATCCCTAATAGTAAGATCTTTAGGGACAGTTTTTTAGTGTGTCACTAAAGGACTGTCCCTAATAACCTAATTTCTTGTAGTGCACATTGATATAAGTATCATTTTCTTAGAGACAAGGTTCAACAAGGGCTTATTGATATCACTTATCTTCCTTTTTCATTGTTGGTCTCTTTCACCTTTTGACTTTCAATGTCAAAAAGGGGGAGAAATGGGCCCGAGATAAGGATAGTTATATCCTTTGTTATTTATTGTGTTGATATTTTTTTGGTACAATGCATCTATCTTTGCAAAAATTTTGATGTTAAAGTTGTTTTAGGGTTTTGACTTTAAAATGTAAAAGGGAGAGATTGTTGGTCCTAGCCTTTAATTCATGGTTTGTTTTTACAATGTCAAAAGTATGCTCACAGGTCCATATTTTTATTGTGTATTACAAGTGCTGGTGTGTTTTAATCATTTCTGGCATCCTCAGGGGTAGTATGATAATTTTCAGTATACGTGAGCCCATTTAAAATTCATTGAGGAAGGTACATTGTATTACAGACCCTTGTTACAGGTTGAACATGTTACAAATTTATTTACAATGACATCTGTCATTCTAGGGGCATTTTTGTAATTTTGTGCAATGTGGTCCTTGTGAGAAAATTCCATGACAGTTGCACAATTCTTTGGCAACAAGTTTCATTTTGTATTATACACCTATACATATATGTATTCTGATATACACTGCACAACATGACAAAATAGGTTGAGTTAGCAGGGGCAAAGTGGTTCTTTCACATAAAGAATATCAAAATATTCTCATCTCCAATGATTGGAGGAAAGAATCTCAATTCTATCCATTTTAAGGGATGCATCAGCACACATTGTACCACTATATATACACTGTTACAGTAGCTTGTGTGTGTGTGTGCCTTTTATGAGTTTTGGGAGCCAATTGTAAGTTGCATTGTGTGAGACACTCGAGACTCAAACAAGAATGATCATTTATGAGTTTTAGATTTAATGAGTGAGCTTTAATTCATCTCAGAAGTCTATATTGTGAGTTTGTTCATATGGAGATCATTTACAAGGCCTTGTGAAATTGGTTTTCTGGTGTAAGATGGTGGTTCAGAGGGTCATTTTTGATTTGAAGCATCTCCAAGGATCCTAGAAGGTTGAGGCAAGTTTGTTTTGGCACTTTGCATCTGCAGAAACCATGTTATTGTTCATTGTATCACTGCAGTAGTTTTTGAATCCTCATACCTCAGTTTTTGTGAAGTTTTTCGGTGTATATCTTTTGATTTGAGTACTATATATTGATACCTTACTTTGACTACTATGATTATCATATGAGTTAGTTTATTTTGTTGATTTGAGGCTGTGTAAGTTGAGTTTTGAACTGTGTTATGGTCATTTTTGGATTTGAACCTTCAAATCTAATCAGTTTTTGTTTTTTTTTTTTTGTTTTTTTTGTAGAAACCAAGCCTTGTTGTGTGTTGATATTGTGATGAGTGCTCAAATGTGACGCATTTTAGCACCTAAGTTAGGGTATTTTAGTCCATTCATCTATCTTACTTTCATGCCTTAGATACTTATTTGTGTTTTTGCTTATTTCAGGTTAACAAAGTTCAAAAGGCTAATAAGAGCCATTTAGCTCAATTTTGGAGCTAAGGAGCAAAGTTGGAAAGAAGCCAAGAAAATGCACCAGAGGAGCTTCGATCGATCGAAGGAAATCCCGATCGATCGAAGAGTTCTACAATCGATTGAAATGAGGCGGTGCCAGCTCAGCAAAGTGGATAAGGCCAGAAGATATTTTTGATGCCAAGTCAGCTTCGATCGATCGAAGCTAAATGTTTGATCGATCGAGAATCTTCGATCGATCGAAGTGCCTGCTGGCAGTTTGCTGTCTAATTCCCGAGCGCGCCGATCTATATCTAACTTGTGTAGTTGCAAATTTCCTCCAATCATAGGCTATATTTTTTACTTGATGCCTACTCAAAGAGGCTTGTATATAATTTAAATGAAACATTTTTGTAAGAGAGCTTTTATCATTTTATTTTAACGTTGTAATTTTATTTTCTCTCTCTAGAAAAGTTAGAGATTACGGTTAGAAGAAAAGAGAGGAGTGGAGGTTCCAAGAACACATCTCGAGATCTACACACTCTCTCTCTTTAGAATTCAACAAAGAAGAAAAGGAAGAAGATGTAGCCATGTTTGGGGATTACCTTTGAGGGTTCCAAGATCACATCCACCTCCTCCATGATTGGCTAGACTTCTCCTTGGGGCTTGGATGAGCCCCAAGTTTGTAATCTAAACCTCTATCTCTTTCATACTTTTTGGGGAATAATATCTTGTGATTAGTGTTTTATCCTTGTGAATTTAATGAATCTTGGGTTCTCCTTTGATTTCCATGGATTAATTCTTTCTATTGATTCTCTATGTGATTACATGTTATCTTATTTGTGATTATTTGGGAATTGATCTCTCCACTAGTTTTTCTATATTAATTGCATGTCTATGTGTGGTTGATTGAGAATCTAGTGATGGCTAGACATGGTTTTTATTAGATGGGTTTGTTAATTAATTTGATGAATTATTCCTATGCTTGATGGGTTGTTCTACAATTTAATTCATGCTTGTCGGTAGGTAGATAATTTATACCTGATTTGATATTCCATGGCTTATTATTGCAAATTCCATGATTCTCTAGATTGATGTGTGCTACAATTCTGACTAGTTTAATGGGTCATGCTTAGAATTAATGGGTTGTTCTACACTTAGTTTATTTATTGGTTAGGTAGAGAATACATTATTGAATTTGATGGTCCATGCTTAATATTGCAATTGGTAGTCGCATTTTGTTCATAAGAAGGTTTTTCCCAAATTAGTTGAAAGTGTGTGGTTTGGTGGACAAGCTTGGTGGCAATTCCAATACACCCCAAGACCTTAGTTTAATCAACCAATCTCTCTCTTTTACAATCAATTGATACATAAGAGTCGAAATTAAATTCCAACACGTATAATCTCTTGGGACGGTTCATTCTCACTCATATTACATAGTATATGTGTTAAGCGGTTTATAAATTTAAAGTATGATGCCCACTTGACATTAATTTCCAAACTCAAAGTGTTGTGCATTATTTTGTGCACACGCTTGGGTCGCATCATAATTTTGGCGCCGTTGCAGGGGATTAACGGTTTTGTTGGAATTAGACTAGACAATAGTGTGCATTTGATTGCTTCTATTTTTATTTTATTTTCCATTGTATATTCATTTCTCATTCTTGATATTATTTGTCAATTAGGTACTTGACTATAAGAAAGGTAAACTTTGAAAGTTGAAGCAATCATTGGAGTTTAAAACTAACATTGGAATTTGAAGTTGCTTAAGGACCATTGTGAGCAATTCTTGGAACTCTTGTATTTTAATTGTGTACTTTTTTGCATGCTTGTTATAGCCCTTGTTGAGGCTCATTATATTGCTTAAATTTTTGTCCAAGCATCAGCCTGTGCGGAGGCTAAATTTTTTTCTTGCATTTGGATTTTTAATGTGAATGGAGCCATTGTTTGATCCAAGTTTGAGGGGGGGGGGGGGGGGGGATTTCTTCCCTTCACTTTATGCTCCTCCATCATATTTTAATCCTTATGAGATTGAGTCTAATGTTCAACATGCATCATTTTATCATGGACTTGATCATTCTTTTAATCCTTCTTATGACTATTACCCTCCCCCACCATTTTATGAAGAACCACCTCCATCACCTTATTCACCCGAGTTTCAAGAAAAGGTGTTAGCTCTACTTGATGTGCTTAATTCACAAACTCAACTTATCCTTTCAGATTCTCAAATTTTAGCCAAGTTTGAAGCTTAAGTTGAGCAAATTGCTAGTATTCTTTCTCGTCAAGAGGAGGAGGAAGAGGAAATGAAAAAATGGCAAGAACTTTAATTTATATAGATGAGGATGATGAGAGTGAAGAGGAAGAAGTAGCAAGTGAGCAATTTGAGGAGTTAATGAGTCCACCAATGACTAATTCAATAAAGCACAACATGATTAATGAGGACTTTCCTTATTTTGATCATAATTTAATTTCGGCCTTTGATACTTTAGAGAGTGAGGAGATGTTGACCATTATAGAGGTAGGAGAGGAGGATGAGGAACTTGCTGAAGAGAGCCTTCTTTCTATTATCTCCAAAGACCCTCTTGAGACTTGCTTTTTTGAAATATATAAAAATTGTTGTTTTGACCTTGAAAGCTCCAAAAATGAAATGAACTCTCTAATAGACTCCTTAGCTAACTTGGAAAGTGGGGAGATGGTGATTTTTGAGGGAAAAAAAAGGATGAAGAGAAGGTGTTTCTTGATATTCCAATTGAGTCTTTGAAAGACTTTGCCTTGTCAAGTGCAAGGCCACCCATTATTGATTTTATTTTCAAGACTGTTAATAAAAAGAAACAAATTGCATCTTTCGTAATTTCTTTTCAAGTCATTCTTTTGGAGGATGATTTCATTGTTGTAAGTAAGTCATTAAATGAGAAAATGGAAAAGTGGGTCAATAAGGATGTTTCATATCTGGTTTTTGATTCGTTCGACTAGTGAGTCGACCCAACGTCTTGCTAGAGACGTTAAACACTAGTATTCGTAGAGTTTCACAACTCTATTCCTTTCCCATTTCTTTTTGTTTTTTACTTCTTGCGGCGCCTAAATATGTTCCATTGCACTTTATT